CATTTACAATCAATTCTTTTAGCGATTCAAAATGTACACTACATGATTATTAACTATGGTCATCATGCTATTGAACAGACCTGGAAAACTTTTTCTCCTGTCTAACTTAAACTTCGTACCCTTTGTTTCTCCTTCTTCCTTGCCTTCCCAGCCTCTAGTAACCACCATTCTACTCTCTAAAGTAGGAATTTATTTTAAATGTTCCCTAAACATGTATTTCAAGCATCCAAGATTTCATAAAAATCTTTATGTCACCCTCTCCTTACAAGTCTTGATCTATTCCCGGCCTTCACTTTGCCAAACTAAAACCTCAGTTCTCATGTTGATGTCCTGGCCAGGCTCCGGGTTCTCTGGTTCTTTTTCTCTGGCCTCCCTTCAGTTGTCCTTCTGGAGGTCCTCTGACAAGAGATGCAGGCATCCCAGGTATTCCCTGGGTGACGGAATCCTCTTCTACAAATATCTCTGCCCTAAGTGGTTGCCTAGGCAGGGTAAAAGACAGGGCTTGCCTTTGGTGGGAGAGTGTGTTCTCCACATTCTTCTTCACTGTGGACAAAGTTCTCAGAAGTCACTTTGGCTTCAAGGAAGTATCCCTTAAATGGTGTGTTCTCACATCACCACGCACCACATTGCCCAAGGGAACACTGCTATAATTAGCACGTGGGCTCCTCACCAGTCCATCACATTCTAGTAAACCCAGATGTAAGGGAGACTTGGTGGAAAAGAGGAGAAAGCCAAAGAAAAACCAGACAAAACAAGAAGGACGATGGGGAAAGGATGGCGATAATATTCATAATAAGGTTTGTAATTAATTATTATAATAATTACTTGCATTTGTCAAGAATTTCCACATGCATGGTTTCATTCACTATGTGTAACAACACAAAAAAATACACACTTAGTCCCTATAAACTACGTTATGGGTTCAATCTATGGGTTCAGTTCTAGAACTTAATTATAATGATCATCTATGACTTTCTTTCGGAGAAATTTGCTTCAAGTTTCAAACAATGATTTATAAATGGAAACATACACCGTGTGGAAGTTCAGGGCTGCCTGAGTAGACGAAGGCACAGCTTGATTTCTCTGAAAAAGGAGGACTCATTCCACAGGGGTTGATGGTGAGTCTCCTCTGAGCCAGCTGTGGTGCTGAGTGCCGAGGTGAAGGTAAAGATGAGTAGTGCAGGGATACTCCTGCCCACAACGAGTGGGTCTAAGAAGAGAGCACCCGATTCTGCCGAGGGATTGCAAAGGAAAGATTCAGTGAGGGATTGCAAAGGAAGGGTTCAGTGAGGGATCGCAAAGGAAGGGTTCAGTGAGGGATCGCAAAGGAAGGGTTCAGTGAGGGATCGCAAAGGAAAGGTTCAGTGAGGGATGGCAAAGGAACGGTTCAGTGAGGGATCGCAAAGGAAGGGTTCAGTGAGGGATCGCAAAGGAACGGTTCAGTGAGGGATCGCAAAGGAAGGGTTCAGTGAGGGATCGCAAAGGAAAGGTTCAGTGAGGGATGGCAAAGGAACGGTTCAGTGAGGGATCGCAAAGGAAGGGTTCAGTGAGGGATCGCAAAGGAACGGTTCAGTGAGGGATCGCAAAGGAAGGGTTCAGTGAGGGATTGCAAAGGAACGGTTCATAGACCAGAACTTTGACGTGGGATCTGTCCAGCAGAAAAGGTAGCGTAGGGCATTTTTGCAGAGAATGTGATGAACAAACACATGAAGGCACGGTTAATAGTTTAATATGGACAAACCAAGGGTGGCATCCCTGTAGCAGACATGGGAATTGTTACCACCCAACAAAGAATCCTCCTTTTTTGAGTATTAATTCACTGATTTTCCTCAGGGGAGCTATTTCTCCACACCCAACTTTCAGTCCATGTGATTGGATGGGACTGGGTATATCACTCAGGCCTGACAATTCATCAGGGAGATTCACTCAGAAATTGGCATGTGACCCATTCTGGGCCAATGAGAGTGGGTCCTGAGATTTTTGCTAGAACTCGTAGAAAAGAAGCATGTTCTTTCTCCGTCAGGATTGTAGAATAAGTGTAGGTAGATGTTCAGTATATTAGATTATTTGTATGTTTGCCTGTTTGTTTATATGCATTAAGATCAGAAAGAAGTATCTTAAAATACTGACATCAATGAATTTTTGGTGGTGGGATAATGATGACATCTATGGTTTTTGCACATTTACATATTATTTATATTTTCTACAAATTTATTATATTTATATTAAAATAGATTTTTTTCTTTCTTTTATTTTTCTGAGACAGACTCTCATTCTGTCGTCCAGGCTGGAGTACAGTGGTGCGATCTCAGCTCACTGCAGCCTCTGCCTCCCAGATTCAAGCGATTCTCATGCCTCCGCCTCCAGAGTAGCTGGGATTACAGGTGTGCACCTCCACACTTGGCTAATTTTTTTGTATTTTTAATAGAGATGGGGTTTTGTCATGTTGGCCAGGCTGGTCTCTAACTCCTCGCCTCAAGTGATCTGCCCACCTCAGCCTCCCAAAGTGCTGAAATTATAGGCATGAGCCACCGCGCCCTGCCAGAATATTTTTTTTTTTTTTGAGACAGAGTCTCACTCTGTCACCCAGGCTGGAGTGAAGTGGTGCGATCTCAGCTCACTGCAGCCTCTACCTCCTGGGTTCAAGTGAGTCTCTTGCCTCAGCCTCCCAAGTAGTGGGGATTACAGGCGGGTGCCACCATGCCTGGCTAAATTTTGCAATTTTAGTAGAGACAGGGTTTCACCACATTAGCTAGGCTGGTCTCGAACTTCTGGCCTCAAGTGATCCACCCACCTCGGCCTCCCAGAGTGCTGGGATTACAGGAGTGAGCCATTGCGCCAAGCCAAAATGGATTTTGATGTTATAAATTATTATTTTAAAAATATTTTAGGCTGGGCGCTGTGGCTCATGCCTGTAATCCCAGCACTTTGGGAGGCCGAGGTGGGTGGATCACCTGAGGTCAGGAATTCAAGACCAGCCTGACCAACATAGTGAAACCCCATCTCTACTAAAAATACAAAATTAGCCAGGCATGGTGGTGCATGCCTGTAATCCCAGCTACTTGGGAGGCCGAGGAGGGTGGATCACTTGAACCCTGGAGGTGGAGGTTGCAGTGAACGAAGGTGGCACCATTACACTCCAACCTGGGCAAAAAGAGCAAAACTCAGTCTCGAAAAATTTTTTTTAAAATAATACATTATATAATAATATAAATATGTACCATAATATATGTTTATGTTAATATATTATTATATAAATAATAGATTCATGTAATTTTTACATTAATATAATGGGCTTTAAGCCCCAGATGCCCAATTATTCCTTCCCTTGGTTCCAGTTTTAAACCCAACTCCTTAATCCGGTTTCCTATAACAACTTTTTCAAAAGAATGCATTTTACCTTTTCAAAGTCAGGTATTTAGCAAAAAGAGACATTTCAAAGTAAAACATTTAGGAGCTAAGAGGTTACACTGGCGCCCCATTAGACCTCAGGCCTCCTCACAGCACAGAGGGTGGAAAGATGGGTGGGGCTCTGTTCTCAGGAGGGGCTCTGACTCCAGGCCAGCTGTGGCAGGGGAACCAGGGGTGGCCGTGCCTGTTTGACCTGACTTTGTAGTCCTTTTAGGAAGAGCTCAGTGGGTTGTTGAACTGGCATGGATGCCCTTGGTAGCTCTGCCAGAGACAGGAATAGGACACAATCCCCACCCAGCCTCCTGTCACCTGCCTTCACAATCAGTCCCTTCAGTCACCAAATGGGAAAAGCACAGCTCAGCCCTGCCTGGATTTCCTCTCCCCTTGTTTGCAAGGACTCTTGAGAATTCATACATATCCTGGGTGTCCTCCCTGCCAGTCACCAGCTCAATCCTGCTGGTGCCCACTGCAGAAACAGAGCCCTCTCTCTCTCTCTCTTTTTTTTTTTTTTTGAGATGAAGTCTTACTCTGTTACCCAGGCTGGAGTGCAGTGGAGCCATTCTCAGCTCACTGCCACCTCTTCCTCCTGGGTTAAAGCGATTCTTCTGCCTCAGTCTCCCAAGTAGCTAAGATTACAAGCTCCTGCCACCACACCCAGCTAATTTTTTGTATTTTTAGTACAGAGAGAGTTTCACCATATTGGCCAGGCTGGTCTTGAACTCCTGACCTCAAGCGATTGGCCCGCCTTGGCCTCCCAAAGTGTTGGGATTACAGGTGTGAGCCACCATGCCCAGCCCAGGCCCCTCTCTTAAATTCCCCAAGGACAGCTTTAACAAAACTCCCCATAACTCCTGCAGAGATGCCATTCTTTCTCAAAGAAAGCCACCTTTTACAGTGATTAAGAGGAGCCTGTGGCCTCACATTGTCCTGCATTGCACTGTCTCCTTTCCAGAAAAGGTTCACGTTTTATCCTTGCATAACCCAAAGACCTATTAAAATCTTTTCCTAAAAACAAAAGGGATTATTCCCACAAGAGCAAATTGCTTCCACCTCCACTGGAGACAAAGAAATTGGAATCAAAACCCCAAGCCCATGTAGCTCAGAATAGCAGTTTGCTCTTTTTTTCTTGCCATTGCTTTTTTCAAAAATAGCGGAGGCCATTTTTTGCACACCACATTCTATGCCTGTTTGGAAACCAAAGGCTGTCTGAAAGAGGGTCAGGGACTGGGCTGGGAAAGGAAGGCTGCAGGAGAGACTCAGGAAGAGGGAGTGAGGTCAATGAACACAGCAACCGCCAGTTTTTCCAAGACTGAGACCTTTTATCTTGGAGTCAGATGTGGGGAGAGGGGGCCAGGCGTCAGCTAGCTGTGGGATCACGGGCAAGTCTTGGAGGTGCCTCTTCCAGCTTCAAATCTCTATGTACTTTGGAGAGGCAGGGGGTTTGCTCCCCAGGTGCAGGCTTCCACCTGTCTCTTCCTGGATTGCATCAGAGCTGCTCAGGACTCATTTCCCCACCCCCACAGGCGCCTACAACTCTCTCCCCCTCCCATAACTTATTAGCTACAGATAACATCCCTTTGTTCTCCCAGTGACTCCACACCCACAGAAGGAGAGGGGGATGAAGAAACCTGCCAGGAGGGTGCTTCCCGCCAGTATCTGATGAAGGTAAGAGGTAAGAGGTTGCCCGTTTACTGCTTGTGCCTTCCAGGGAAGCTTCTTCCCCAGCGCCACTACCCGTTTTGGGAGGCGTTTCCGGGCTAGGCTTCCTGGCAGGGGAGGCTGTCAGGCATTGGGGCCACTGAGGGTATGTGGTGAAGCCCTTGGCTTGGAAATCTTCGCCTTTGGGGACTCATTAAGAATTCTTTCCAAGGAATCCTCGTCGGGTGTCTTCCAATGGTTTCCCCACCAGATCACAATCAGGCCCAAACTTCTTAGCCTTTTTTGCTAATCCTCTTCCCAGACCCACTGAGCTCCAGTTACGTAGAACCATGTGCGATTTCCTTGAACATGTTATGCATTTTCATGCTTTTGTGACTATTTTGCATATGCTGTTTCCTTTGCCTGGAGTGCCCCCTACCACTTCTCTTCTTAAAGAACTCCTATTCATCCTTCAAGACCCTACTGAAAAGTCAGGTTCTTTTTCAAAGCCTTGCTTGACTTCCCAGACAGGGTTGGATGCTCTGTGCTCTAGGCACAGGGTTCCTTCCCCGGCTCATTTTGGATTAGGGTAATTATTACAATTTGCATGTTTATCTTCCTTCTAGTTGTTCCTCCAGGGCAGGGACTGTCATTCACCTTTGCAAATGTGGTATACAGCACAGTGCCAGGCCCTGGTAATTCCTCAGCCAATATTTGTGGTAGGATAAACACAATTTCTTCTGGATTTGTTGTATTTTTGAGTAGCATTAAGAAAATGCTTTTGTCACTGTGGACATTCCCTAGCCTCCAGTGGCATCTCTCCAGACAAAGGTCACATATTTGTGAGTCTGTGTATTCACACAGCATCAGTATGTCACGTCTCAGGTATTTTACATCTGATTTATTTATTTTACACATTAACCCTATGGGTGGTTGTTATTGTTACCATCATAAAATAAAGAGATCGAGATGCCAAGAGATTAAGTACCATGTTCAAGGTATCAGCACTTGGATGGCGGAGCTGGGACCTGAAACCAGGTATTCTGGCTGGAAAATCTTTTATCTACATCTGAGAGTCTCAGTAAGTGGTCTTGGAATCAGTAGGTCAGCATCCCCTGAGGACTTGTTAGAAAATCCAAAACTCCAAGGGTGGGGCCCAGCAATCTGTTTTAACCAACCCTGCAGGTCATTCTGTCCTCAAGTTTGAGACAGAGCCCTTGTTTAAGGGCTCTGTGGCCTGTGCCACAGCTGCTCCAGTAGCTGTCCACAGCCATGGGAGGGCGCTCCAAGGCCAACTTTCACCGCTGGGAACCTGTCAGGCACGGCAGAAGGCAAGAAAATGCATGAACTGGGAATTAGGTGGCAAATTCTAGTCCTGCAAGTTCTGCAATTATTGGTTGGGTGATTTGGAGCACATTATTTAATGTTTAACCTCCCTGGGCCTCAGTTTTCTTATCTGCAAAATGAGGATGATGACTAAATGTTCTCATCTCTAATTTTCCTTTAAATTCTGTTATCAGCTCTCCTTCGGAATAATATGTTGTCTGTGCCAAGGATGAAATGAAGACAGAGTATGATGGCTCATTTTGACTTTTTCCTTACTTAGAAATGGAGAGCCCCAAAGTCCAAATCCTTGGACCAGCTATCCCCCACCTTCCTCCTCAGGGGCAGAAGGTGAGATGAGAGCAAGCAAACATCTGAGTTCACTCATGAAACTTTACTGGGCAAAGAATAGAAAATGTTGGTTTGGACCCTCCTCCACTGTCTAGAGGCTCCCCGACATGAGCTCTCTCATTGACCCATCTCCTTCCCCGGCTTCCCCGCTGTGACTCTACCAGCCCCTCTCGATCACCTCCGTGAGCCTGAGCACTTTCCCTGTTCCCCCACCTGGCGTTGCCAATTCACAGGCTCTTGTTTATTCACTGTTCTTCTGAGGAAGGTGGGGCCGGTGTCAGGGTAACTTACTAGGTTTGACAGGGGCTTGGTGGCCTCATGGGGAGCCCCTCAGACACTGGTTTCACATGGCCTCTCCTAATGTCTTCACATGGACCCAAGGGCCCTCCCTGGAGCCCACCCCACAGTGGATGGGACTGTACCTACAAGGCACTGGTGGGGCCCAGCATTCAGCTGACAGCTGAAAAACCTTGGGTCTACATTGGGCTAAAAGGAAGGAAGAATGTTTCTTGCCCTTTTGAGATGTTTACAAAAATCCCAAAAAAGCAATTGTGTTGTCAAAGTAGAGCCCTGAATCAGAAAGGTGGTTAGAAGAATTGTTATTACCCAGGCGCTTGGTATCAACATAAGAACATGGCTGATACTCAAGTCCAGAGGGACTAGGAGAACTGGGGAGTTTCAGAAGTTGGTCAAAGAACATGTTGCCTTTGGCAAAACCACACATGTCAAACAACCCGAGTGTCTGTTCAATCTGTATTGCTCTCAGAGAGACTTTCAGGACAAGGTTTTCAGAAGCCAGGAAAAGCCTAAAAATGTAGGACATCAGGTGTCCCCAGCAACCCTGGGGTGAAAAACCAAAGAAGGTGGTTCTTAAACAAGGGCTCTGGGAAGACTGGAAGCCAATGTCGACTCCTCCTCAGTTGAAGGTCACTGAGGCTGCATTTCTTAGCTGCAAGTGACCCAGGGCAGCTGGCCACCCCTTAGATGATCAGTGGAACAACATGTTAATAAGAACATGTGTGCAGAGGCCGGGCGCGGTGGCTCACGCCTGTAATCCCAGCACTTTGGGAGGCCGAGACGGGCAGATCGCGAGGTCAGGAGATCGAGACCATCCTGACGAACACGATGAAACCCCGTCTCTACTAAAAATACAAAAAATTAGCCGGGCGAGGTGGCGGGAGCCTGTAGTCCCAGCTACTCAGGAGGCTGAGGCAGGAGAATGGCGTGAACCCGGGAGGTGGAGGTTTCAGTGAGCCAAGATCGCACCACTGCACTCCAGCCTGTGACAGAGCAAGACTCCGTCTCAAAAAAAAAAAAAAGAATATGTGTGTAAAGTTGTGTGCAGTTACGGTTTCTATGCCTGTTAAATCAATACACATTGTCTCAACCTAGTACCCTGGAGTCCCATGTCAACACCTTCTGCTGATGGCTGCTTTCTTGACCCATTCTGAGCACCCCAAAGTGGGCCTGGCAATCTGCTGACCTACCTCAGCAGTCTTGGAACTTCCCAGGATCCCAGGGGGCTTGGAAGCCTGGGGACCACCCAGGTGTGGATTAGGATTCTTGGACTGCTCCAGAATGGGCCTCTCCCCCTCCCCACAGTCAGCGCCTGTCCCATCTCAGCCTGAAACTGGCCTGCTTTCCTCCAAGACTTGGATCGAAAAATTCTTCTGCATATATTCAAAATGTATTTCAACTCCTTAGAGTCTCCTAAGCCTCCCACTGCCAAGCCCCTATGACTTCACAGACACTGAGCACTCATCTCTGGTGCTGTCTTCTACTCACAGAGTAGCCACATCTGAACATGCTGGTCCTTTAGCTCTCTGTTGTGCAGGAGTGAGGAGACATGGGCTGTAGTCTCAGCATACTGATGCAATCTAGTTGTGGGCCCTTCCACAGGTCATTTTACTTCTCTGGGCCTCAGTTTTATCATCTGTAAAATGGGAATGTTGCTTTAGATGCCCTCTGAGATCTTCCACCTCTAAAATTCTGAGATTCTGGGGGTCACCCTGGCCAAAACAGGTTCAGAGGTGCTGCACATCACCCCACACATGGCCGTGAGGATATAGAATAGAGTCCATGTAGTATTAGGACAGTGGGGAAGACCCTGGGGCAGATGAGTACTTTTCCTTCATCGACTTGGATTTGAGGAGAGCCTGTTGGGTGGGTCCTGGCTAGAAAGAGTGAGACAGCCTCCCTCAGACTCCCCCTGTGCTTGAGTGGTTGCCTCACAGGCTGTCACTTAACCCTCCTCACCACTTCCCAGGGTGGGAAAGGAAAGGGCAGATGGGGGACAGCTGATGAAATAGGCAGACACAAGCGTGTGTTCCTCAAAGGCAAAGCCAAGGTCAACAGAGCTGGGCCAACTTGGGCTGCAGCTGCAGGCCCTGCTCTTTGCAGGGTTTCAGCTTCCTCTTCTCTCCTTGACTCTCTCCTAATAATTTAAATGGGGTTCTTTCTCAGAGCACCAGAGCCAGCGGCTGATACTTTGTGTTAGAATTTACCCACAACTATCCACTTGTGTTGCTCTTTAACCTGCAGCCAAAGACAAAAGAAGATGTCCTTGGCTGCTGGAACGCGTGCAGTGAGGGCACCCAGGAGTGGGTTGTTCTGAGACTCTGCTCCCACCAGACCATACTTTCTGTGTGCTCTTCCAGGAGGAAATGGATCCAGCCAGAAGGATCAGAGAGTGTCAGAAGATCTGGAAACTTCCTCTGTAGGGCCAAAGCCTCAAAATATGCCATTCTATTCTGGGGAATGCCATTTCTATTCAGGGCTCCATCCATCAAATAGAAATGGGACTCTAGGCTACTTTCCCATCTCCCAGGGATTTGGATGCCTAGAACACAACAATTCTTTTAATCTTCTAAGTTAAAAAAAAAAAAAAAAAAAAAGATTCTGGGACAGGTGCAGTGGTTCACTCCTGTAATCCCAGCAGTTTGGGAGGCCGAGGTGGGCAGATCACTTGACGCTAGGAGTTGGAGACCAGCCTGGACAACATAGTAAGACCCTATCTCTCCAAAAAAACACACACACACACACAACAACAGCTGGGTGTGGTGTTTCATGCCTATAGTCCCAGTTACTTGGGAGGCTGAGGTGAGAGGATCATCTGAGCCCAGGGAGATAGGGAGATTGAGGCTGCAGTGAACCATCATTGCACTACTGCACTCCAGCCTGGACAACAGAGTGAGACCCAGTCAAAAAAAAAAAAAAAAAGATTCTATAAGGGGGAAAAGAGAAGGCACATCAAGTCCTTGACAAAAGGAAATTTGCTAAATATTACACTCAAACTAGCTTAATAATGAACAACTGTACCTTCATCATAAGTTGCAAAGAACTTTGTCATACTAAATCCATACTTCGACACTGTATATTCACTCAAAAGGCTTTATAAGGAAAATCCAAGTATATTTAGACCCCCACATCAGTTATAATCATCATAATTTACTGAACACTTATCATGTGTCAGGCCCTGTACTAGGTGACTTAAATGAATTATCATATTTCATCCTCACAAGAACCCTATGAGACTGAATCTATTATTATCCCAATTTTATAGATAGAGACGCTGAGGCACAGAGGGTTTTTTTTTTTTTTTTTTGGAAACAGAGTCTTGCTGCATTGCCCAGGCTGGAGTGCAGTGGCACGATCTCAGCTCACTGCAACCTCTGCCTCCCTGGCCCAAGTGATTCTCTGAGGCACAGAGGTTTAAATAACTTGTCCAGGCAGGGCGCTGTAGCTCATGCCTATAATCCCAGCACTTTGGGAGACCGAGGCAGGCAGATCACGAGGTCAAGAGATGGAGACCAGCCTGGCCAACATGGGGAAACCCCATCTCTACTAAAAATACAAAAATTAGCCAGGTGTGGTGGCGCGCACCTATAATCCCAGCTACTTGGGAGGCTGAGGCAGGAGAATTGCTTGAACCAGGGAGGCAGAGTTTGCAGTGAGCCGGGATTGTGCCACTGCACTCTAGCCTGGCGACAGAGCGAGACTCCATCTCAAAACAAAACAGAACAAAACAAAACAAAAACAACTTGTCCAAGGACACAGAGATAGTAAGTGATGGAGCCATGGTATTGAGCTGGTTTGCCTGATTTGGAGCCTGTGCTCATAACCAGCTAAAAACTTCACATACACAAATACAGAATTTAGGGGGATAGAATCCTTAAAAATACAAAAGGTTTGCTAGAATGTTCTCTAAACCCCAAATTCCCCCATAATTTCAGTAAATAAGACCTATGGCTGGGCGCAGTGTGGCTTACGCCTGTAATTTTAACACTTTGGGAGGCCAAGCTAGGAGGGTCACTTGAGCCCAGGAGTTCAAGACCAGTCTAGGCAACATAGTTAGGCCCTGTCTCTACAAAAAAATTTTTTTAAAGTTAGCTGGGTGTGGTGGCACATGCCTGCAGTCCCAGCTCCTTGGGAGGCTGAGATAGGAGGATTGCTTGAGCCCAGGAGTTCAAGGCTGCAGTGAGCCAAGATGGCACCACTGCACTCCAGCCTGGACAGCAGAGTGGGACCTTGTCTCAAACAAACAAACAAACAAACAAACAAACAAAAAAACCACCATAATTTTCTCTTTTTAAATTTATTTTGAGATAGAGTCTTGCTCTGTTGCCCAGCCTGGAGTGCAGTGGTGCCATCTTGGCTCACTGCAACCTCTACCTCCTGGGTTCAAGTAATTCTCCTGCCACAGCCTCTCAAGCAGCTGGGATTAAAGGCATGTGCCACCATGCCCGGCTAGTTTTTGTATTTTTAGTAGAGATAGAGTTTCACCATGTTGGCCAGGCTGGTCTCGAAGTCCCGACCTCAAGTGATCCGCCCACCTTGTCCTCCCAAAGTGCTGAGGTTACAGGTGTGAGCCACTGTGCCCAGCCCATAATTTTATTTTCTGAAATTTGTTTTAAGGAACATACATTTTGAATGCAACATATGGATTTTTGCTTTGTGGGAAGGCACACATCTAAACCTTTCACCCAGTCGGTTAATTCTGATATGATTAATTCTATTAATAATGAATGATTATTTTCTTATTGGTATTGAATAACCACATTTAGAAAGAAGCCTAGGCAAGGTGGTTTATAATTTAAGTATGAATCTTCTAATTACACACTTGTTTGTATATATTCATGCATAATCAAATTGAATCAAATGGACAGCCTGAAAGAATGAGATTATAGTGTTGGTGTGGTAGAGCGGGAGTTGGGGGCATTCTTCTTGCATTAGCCATCAACTTGATTTATAGATGTTTTATCTCATTAACCTTTAAGTCATAGAGCTAATTAGTGGCTCTGGGAACTGCAAAACACACTTGAAGCAATCATGTAGCTCTTTAACTTCGCCATGCACCAAATTAAACTGGACCCAATTATTCCAAATCATGGAAGACATCTTTTGAAAGATTTTGCCTCCTTCATTTCAAATGGATCGCTGGGATGAATATCATACTTGATGAAAACTCAGATTTCCTTTTCTAGCTGCATGCCATATTGTGTTAAAACCATCTGAATGCTTCAAAAGCTCTTGCTTCACAAAGAGACACATATATGCAGATCGGTGTGATTATTCCTGTTTGGGTAAAGCTGTCCCAGGACCCTATGAAGGGTGTCACCCTAAGGATAGCACTGCTGACCTTTCACCTGCAGGGAGCCATGCTGGGAGGATCAGGGAGCCATGCTGGGACCCAGATTGTTCAGGAGGCTGCCATCTTGAAAATGGAGATGGTTCCTTGGCACTCATAGACCTATAGGCATCCTTTTGTTTTCAATTCCCTGTTCTTATTTCTGGGATAGAAGCCCTCACAAAACTGTGACAAAGACCCAGACCCTGAAGCCTAAGTAGACACAGCCTTTCTTCTCTTTCCAGCCTTCTGATGGGAGGATTTTGAACTTCTTGGCTCCCCGTTTCTTGTGGCTGAATTAAAGTAATGGCTAGGGCCAGGCGTGGTGGCTTACGCCTGTTATCCTAGAACTTTGGGAGGCCGAGGTGGGTGGATCACTTGAGGTCGGGACTTCGAGACCAGCCTGGCCAACATGATGAAACCTTGTCTCTACTAAAAATACAAAAATTAGTC